AAAACAATCATTGTGCTTTGGAGCACAGGGACACAGAGAAACCGCTCTGGATCAGAACGGATAAACGTGACGATGGGTTCACGGTGTATGCTGGAAATGATGGGTCTGAGCGCGCGGTTGCCATGTGGGATTCTACATGGAAAGGCCCAGAACGTGACAAGTTTCTCCCATGGGAGAGAGAACTTGCAGCTTGGCATAAATATTTGTTTCCCATCCTGTGGTTAGCTGATGGTCAACCTGTGTTACTGTACACGAGGGAACCAGAGCTTTGAAACTTCACATCCACTCACATGATTCCTGGCAAAGCCCTCACGTCCAGGAATGAGAAATGGGATGCGATGTTGCTTGACCCCACCATTTCACTGATCCCGGAGGGATCTGATGTGAAACCTAAGAAAAGAAAGGAGAGTGACCCTCCTAGGGACCCAGAGAAGGGCGTCACCTACTACACGGATGGGTCTAAGACCCAGGATGATGTTATGGCATTCTGGGCATGGATTAAATATGTAAATAACAAGAAGACCTCTCAGAGAAAAGGGAGGATTGCAGGTTCTGCTCAGAAAGCAGAGCTCACAGCTATTTTAGAAGCTATGGTACACCATGTGCGGACGCATGGGAAATCTCCTGCGCTGATCATCACTGACAGCGAATGGGTGTGTAAAGGGGTGAACAATGAACTCCCCACGTGGGAGAAGCATGGGATGACTAAGGGTCAGGCTGGAGGTCCTGTGAAATTCACAGACGAGTGGGCTTTGATCGCTAACTGTCTAAGAAAAGGTAACTTCCAGGTTCGACACCAGCCGGCTCACACACTGAGTGACACCTCTGCTGCCAGAGGAAATGCTGCGGTGGACAGGCTGGTGCAGGCAAGAATGGTGAGACTGGTTTTGCATGACAGTACAGAGTCTGACCACGACCTGGTGAAGAAGCTGCATGAAACTTTGGGGCACCCTGGTTTTCAAAGGCTGAAGAAGTGGTGCTTGCAGAATGCAGTTTGCATCCCCCATTTGGACTCTGTGCTGAGAGATGTTAAATCACACTGCGCTCTATGCTTAGAGCTGGGTAAACAACCCACAGAGAAAGTGGTTGGCGACCGTATTGGTCCAGAAGGCTTGACCTCTGTCTCTTGTGACATTGGAGAGCTGAAGAGAACACAAAAGGGCAACAAGTATTTCCTGGTGGTCAAAGGGAACAGGGGGGAGAGTATAGGGGGTATGTTCCCTTTGCCCAATATGACAGCAGGAAGGATTGCAGATTGCCTAGCGAGAATAATGGTGTGTTATCCACAAATAAAAGCTATCAGGATGGATAATGCACCACATTTCAAAAATAAAGTTGTTCTGGAGCTACTGGAGAATGAAGGACTGATAATCCAGTGGTCCATCCCTTACAAGCCACACACAAATGGAGTGGCTGAGAGAGCAGTTCGCACCGTTAAAGAGGCGATAAAAACCTTGAACTTGAAGGAATGGGATTCTCCAGGTGCAGTTCTGGCTGTTAATAGGGCTCTATTAGAACAGCCTTTAAGACAAGAATCTGCTAAAGACACACCCTCTGTCTCTCCACAGGGAGAACAAGAGAGAAGCTTCCTGCATAAAAGACCCCAGGATGGAAAAGTTGAAAAGATTGAGGGGAACCAGGAAGGTAACACAATCAGATGTGCAACCCCTAACCAGAAAACAGTCTGGCTTGGAGACTGTAAAGAAGTGGGTCCCACTAAATGAAGGGAGAATTTCATCCCCAATATGGCTGCTGAGTGCATCAAGTTCAGGGGGGATCACATTAGGTAAAGTACAAGGGCAAAGTTGTGATGAGGAGTGCTTCAGCTGGTCAGTTTACAGACCGGGTACATGCGCAAACTGTGGCAATGAAGTTGCTGAGATAAGGTGGGAAGGCCCGAGATTTCTTAAAGACAAAGTTCTGAGAAAAAATCCTTCACCCACAAACGTTGTGGAATTACATGGTGTGATGAAAGTGGCGTGGTGTGGAGATTGTTGGATGAGTAAAGCAGGCAAAACAAGAATTGGTCGTCTGGATCATCATAGTGTTGATGAATCTAGAAAATGTTGTAGAGTGGACAAAGGAAGACTCTCCAGTTGTTCCAGTTCATGTGGGGTGCGAATTTACCCTGTGGTGTTGCTGGTTCCTGAGATGAGTCACCTGTCAGGCTTGACATGCTCCCAGGCATATTGGGAGAATTGCTTTAAAGAGATAGTGTGTACTAGAAAGGGAGGGAGTTTGAGTGAAACTTTCTCACCTTGGGGAAAGGTGCTGTGGGAAGCTACTGAACCACAGCTGTGTTGGAGAGACAGGCGAGGCAAGTTTCCTGTAACCACTGACGAGTGGGAAAGGAGACAGGTTCGTCATGAGACAACAGATAAGGATTGGTACACCTCAGCTACTGTACCGAATGGAATGACTTGTCAATAATCAGAAGTCAGACGCAAGTATTAGTTAAAACAAAAAAAGGCTGGAAGAAGCTGGATGTCTGGAGAGACTCACTCAAGAAGAGTGATGGCGTTTTAATAGCAGTAAACTTGGAGTGGGATCGGCACGCGGAGACCCCCAGGCTATTTACAAGGGACACCGTGGCTGCGCCAAGGCCACAGGTGAATTAAGAAAAATGTGTATGATGAAGCTCTCTGCCTAATTCTCCTCGTCTCTACAGGCAGCAGAGATTCATGGATTCCTGCGGAGAGTGGGAGGAGGAGGAGCTAGATCGGCTCCTCACACGACCTCCTGATAAGACTTGCTGGGAGAGTTGGAGAGGAGGTATCTTATGTTGTATCGGTTTATTAATCTGTGTGGTAGCGATATCTTTTATCTCAATGCCTGTTTCACGAGTTGTAACACTCAAGACCACGGCTGTGGTTAAAGGGTGGGTTCACAAGCGACCAGGAACCCTAGACCTGCCTAGAGTGTCGTGCTTGACTCCTCATGAGGAGGACTTTAATGCCACTCAGTGGATGGAATATTGTAAGGCTGTTACACAGGGCTGTCCAATCCCTGATCCAGGCGAGGCCTGTAGCCCCACATCTACCGGCTGGCTGATGTGGTTAGAACAGCTCAATAATGCCACCGACAGCCATAACTCTACTTATGGGCTGTTAGGATGGGAGGAAGGAAAGCTTAAAGTGTGGGATTTCACAGTTGATGTACAACCTGTGGAATGTATCACTAAAATTTACCATTTTGGGGTACTAACTGTCTGGGGAGAATATATAACTGGTTTTGATAAGGTTTCTGATTGCATGATATTCAGACTCCTTGCGTTCCCGAATGGAACTGCAGCTGGGAATGATAGCTGGGCAATGGAAGGGGGTTCCCTACCCCCCATGTCGCAGCTGATTGCTCCACAAGACGCAGACACGGCTGTGACCCCTCACTTGAGGAGGCAGACGCGTGCTGCTAAGGAACAGACGAAAGGCCACAGGCTTCCTAGTCCACAGAGTACTTGGTTGGACAGAACCAAAGCTTTTTCAGCTTACAAAATGATCCCTTTAGGAAAGGGAAAACAACTGTTACCCATGACATTGCATGTAACCCCAAAGGGAGTTAAATTAAACTTCATTCATGCTCCGCATGTGCTAAACAGGAGCTTGATAGATGGAATGACAGAATATTTTATGATCATCCCACGTCTGGCCTGGGACAAAGGAGAGGCGGACAGCGTGTGGAGATGTATTAAGAAATTAACTAGTGACCCAAAATACCCCAGAACATGGTGGAATAATTATATATGGGAGTTAATGTCCTTAGGTGGACATGTACGAGGTCCTTTTCCTGGTATGATTCCGAAAACGAGTCATGATGCATGGCTTGTGAATAGCACATCGAAGAGATGGGCTCTGAATGTGTCATATGAAATGTGGACGGAGGATGTTCATGGCTTAATGGGACATTTTGCCCCAAACGGGTTCGATAAGCCAGGGCGAGTGACAGAGTATGATGTCCTTTTTGGACAATGGTGGGCTACCAATCTGACAGAAGGGGTGTTAGAATGCAGGCCTAAAGAGAGACTCGGTTCTACAATCTTTTGGATGGCTAATTTACTGGCGTTGTTGAACCCAGCTACAGTCCCAACGATTAAAGATGTAAATGTGAAAAAAGGTGTAAATATGACTCCTCCGTTCGTGAGGATGGAGAAACATGGCAGTTTAATAGAACTGACTATGGTCCGATCTCAAGGTCCGCATCTAGATGATTTGTACTCCACCCCAGCTTATTCAAAGTTTCGGTTTATGAATATGACATGGGGGCATTATACTGGAGAGCTGCGAGACTTGGAGTATGATTATGCGTATCGCGAACAAGCTTTACGATTCAGGGAAGCACATTGGGTGCGAAATTCTCTGTTAACCAGGTGGTGTAGGTCTGATGCGTGCTTCAGAACTCTGGCCCAGCCCGCTACGAAAATTGCTGTTAGAAATGGGAAAAATGTGTATAATCCTTATGAACTGGGCGGCTTTGTTGACCCTCACGGTTACCCCCACTGGTGGCACTCAAATTGGAGCAGCTACGTCGTCTGGGACTCAGAGAATTTCCCATCATTAGGAGTAGGATGGGGTTACTTTGCCAACTCGAAAGGCCCCAAAGCTTGTTTTTGTCAGGAAGACATAGATGCTGTTGAATACAGGAGCGACTTAGGTATATGGCCCTTTCAAGCATGGATTCCTGTTGGTGGGGGTCGTTGGGAGCAGAACTGTTCTGGTTCCTTTCATTTCCCCAATCGGACAGGCACATGTTGGTTGAGTGAAAGAGCTAGGATGTCTGATTGGCAATTTGTCCAGAAGGGTTTTAAAATTATTGGCCAAGGATTAACCTTAGGTATCAGAGAGGCCGTCAAGGTGGTCGCCCAGGGAGCAATGGGTGTTGCCTCTCTGGTAATCTCTGAATTATGGGTTTACGCCAAGGTCCCTGTGATCGTAGGAGGGGTCCTGGTGATGTTATCTGTTTGTGTTAAACTCCTGCATCTTTTGAAGTGTTTGCCAGCCGCAGCAGGAGATCTGCTAATCAGCCCCGATGGCAGGAGGAAGGGCCTCCTGAGTCAATTAGATTGGGACCACGTGGACGCCGGGCACTCAGGAACAGAGCTGCACGCAGGTAGCATCTCCCTTGTAGAGAAAGTTCTCAAGGTATCATGGCCCGTGCAGAATCTCCACGTGAGGTATTTGAAGAAGCAGATGAGGATGTGCTGATTACCTCGGTAAGACTGTCTCTATTGGGTTAATCTTACCGGCGAGATATGCTAAAATTAGATGCACAAGAGGCCTAACTGAGGACTCTTGGAATGTTGATGTGATAACCTCTGCTTAATGCATGATGAGAGAATGATTGTTACATCCTGTTATCTGATCAGGATGGAAAGGCCCACTTATTCATTGTGGTTACTAATTTGCATGCTGTAACTTGTGTAATTCCTGTGGGAAGCAGTGAAGACCTGTGACCTGGATTAGAGGTCTCTAGGATTTTTACATACCTATTAGTGGCATGTTTGATATCATTATATGAGTGTGTTGTACTAACAGAATTAATGATGAAGAAGTGTCTGGCTGCATTTTGTGAGAAAGAGCTGACCTCATGTTCACAGAGGATGGTAGGGTGCCGCTGACCCCTAGTGGGGTCATAAAGGTCATGCATGACTGGTCTCAGAACCAGGGTCTGTTTATCGTCTCTGTGTGTGGTTTTAGGTTGATGAATCAGAGGATCTATTGCCTGGCCCAGACTCTCAGGAGATGCTGATGCTGCCACCCAGTGGACAGAAGCCGCTGGTGAACAAGCGACGTCAGCCTGGGGTGATGCCACCCAAGAGAGTTTCACTTTACGGGCTGGTGGATGGTAAACCTGTAAGGATAAACCCGAATGGACCGTGGAACGCACATGTTTGGGAACGTATTGTGTTGGTCTCTGATGGTACCAGTCATAAGGGGACTCGAGTGGCGAGGAGGGAGAAGATTCTTCAGAGAATTACACGCTCGACTTTAGTTAAGCATTTTGATTGTGTCAGGCGCGATGTGTCGCGGGGCCAGACGCGCTTGCCCTGTGTTCTCTCCCATTTCAGAGAAGGCGACGTAGACTGGTGCTGGATCAGTACGCCCCACAACGACTACGTGCAGGAGTGCGAAGAGCCAAGGCGTGTGGTCAGGATGCAACCATCCCCTGCTAAAGTGGACGTTCCGATGCAGGAATTGAGCCCTCCGGAGTTCGATCTGCGTCAGCAGCTTCAGGCCGTTCCGTCTGTCCAGGCCATGGTGCCACCAGTGATGAATGCAATAAATCCACATGTTTGCTTGTATCCAGGAAATTTGAATATGCAGTATTTTCCGCAGTTTAAGCCACTTACCCAAGCCTGGTTTCAAGGGGGGTGTTGAATAAAGATTTTCGATTCCTCCAGACCTGTCTTACTATATAATAGCAGTTCTGGATTATATCTCAAATCTGTATGTTAGTGAAACCAGGCTTCAGGGTTCAGCAAGAGGTCTGTGGGTGGTGATTTGACTCCTGATCTCATGCTGCCATAAATGATGTGTGTGTTTCAACTAATCTGCTATCCATGACAAATTTATGTTGTAGTTTAACCTTGTATCGACTTTTTATGGTGTAGCCCAGGATGTAATAAGAACTTCAGGGACACGTATAGAGATGTTTATGTTTGACTTCCTTTGATCTGAGCTGAAGAAGGAAGAAGGAGGAGGGAAGACCCCCGCCCATCTGGCTGATACCGGAGGGGGCTGGGAGAAGACCCAAGGCCAGAGAATGCTTCCGAGGCAGGGGTTGCCATGGAGATGGAAGGGGGGCTAGGAGGAGAGAGTTGAGGAGAATAAAAGTGTGAGGGCTCCGTGGAGAGGGGGCTCTGGGGTTTTTTGGGTGTTTGGGAAGAGTTCGGAGGACAACTGTAATGGTTGAGTGATCTGACCCGCTGCGTCGGGAAATCTGGAATATTTTTACTTCATCATATAAAATAAAATATTTGCTCCTTCATATAAGGGGCTTTAAACGGAATCTCCAGCCTGGGGTCTCCAATCGTGTCGTGTAACGCCGGAAAGGTGAGGCGCTGATTATTTCTAATCCCACTCCAAGAGGTTTACATTTAAACTTAAAGTCTTTAACCTGGGCATAGCATAAGCTGCAGGTGACTGAGTTGTGGTGAAGTTATAACAAGAGTCTTCCTTTGTGCTGCTAAAGTATGTTTGCCAGAGTCTAAATCTAGGTAAAGATGATCGCTGATTAGCTCACAGAGGTGTAAGCTCAGACTGGAGTCACGCTCACGCACAAATGGAATTACAAGTCAACCCTGAGACGTAGTGTTTATTAAAGAGTCAGCTAGTTTGGGAGGATGACTTGTAACAGATTTGAACACGTCCTTTGTTTTACGTAACGCTTGAGCTGTCTCGAGCGTGATGTTGTGAGTGTACGCCAGTGTATCGCGTGCACCGAGGTCCGAAAGGGCGTGCGCTACAACTATTAACCTTGGTTTGGGAGTGTGGCGAAACGCTCACTCCGCTGTAATGGGCGGATGCAATGTTATCACCTGGTACGTTTCGTTAGTCAGGTCGTAACACACCGGTCCGTCACACGGACCGTCACATTGTATGGGGCATAGTAAGGACAACACGCCGCCGACCGTGACTTCGCACTCGACCGCGGTGGTGTTGTCGATTTGCAAAGGATCACATACGCCTCTCCAGTCGCAATGAGGCACATTGTAGTCGACGCGACCGTCGGTCACCATAGCTTTCGTCAGCCAACACACTCGATTGCCCTTCGAAACATCGACGATCAACGTGAGCGTAGAGGTCGCCGTCGCTTTACTGTACGCCAGGATATCCGTGTGTGAGTGCACGCTCGACGTCGATTGACAACCGGTCATGTCAGATCTGATCAGACCTTCCGAACACATGACCATTAGTTGTTGTGCGGCCGAGAGTATCGCGATCATACCGTTGAGATGTGTAGAAAGCGCGTACACGCCAGCCTTCCACGTTTCCAAAGTTTCCAGCAGTCTAGAGGGACTTGTCTAAGCGCGCACGGCTGTGCTGAATTTGCGTTGGGTAGACACAACGGCTTCGACATCGCTTAGGATCTGTGGGCTCATGTACTCGTGGTAGGCCAAGACGTGTATAGTCGAGCGCGGTGACGCCCCGAACACTTGACCCGGTTTTGTTGTGGCGATATGCGTGTCCAGTAATGCGGCAAAGTCCGCGTGTCTAGCGTGTATTGATTTTACAGCTCGCTCATACCCCAACTATACGGTCCGTAGAAGTTCGTTCACTTGTTTCCATGCGCTCGTGGAACACAGGACATCGCAACCTCTGTGATACTCAAGTAAAGCGTCACACACCAGCTGCTTGCACGTTGGAAATACAATCGGTAGTAACTTCTTTCTCCACTCTATGTTGAACTCGTATAGTATGTATATGGGCGGTTGCGGCGGTTTGCGCATTTTCTATCTACCCTCCGCTAATATGACTCTGTGGTCTGTCTCCTGAGATGGTGCGGTTGGAACTTGCGAGAGTGCACTATCGACGGTCGGCGTTTCCATTTCGTCAACTGTGCCATTTTTAGCCGCTGGTAAACGCCCGTCGATGGTCGATGCGAGACACCAACATAAAGTTAGACCGCGACCCTCATGCCAGTTTTCTGTAGTACTGGTTGTAGTTTCTGGTGCACACTCGATACGCCATTACGATCACAATTACGTCGGTTAATAAATCCAGTCTTGTAGCAACTGCAGCCAGCGCCGTTGCGCAACTCGTGTCGGTGTTATCTCTCGATACTTTCATTCGTATCCAAGCGTATGCAGAATCTATGGATCTGGTGAAGTTGCTTGTCACTAGCTTGCGCACGTTTGATATGGCACTTTGCGCGAGACTCACACAACCTGCAGTGGCGACCGTCGCGTCAGTGCAAAGTTTTTCCGATTTATCGCTCGCAACATCGTTTGTCATTTGCTGTACACTATGCACACTGGCCGCGAGGTCGCGGAGAGGGTCTTCGTTACGAGTTGTGTAATATCCGCTGACTTGCCGATTCAATTCTGGTGGCGCTGACCCAAACGAGAACGCTTTTAAGGCGCATGTCGTGGTAACTCTGGTAGCGCCGTGGTTGACGAGGACAATCATCTTTAGCAATAGTTCATCTCGAAGCGCAACGATGGTGAGGGCGACGGGTTGGCCGGTTCCGCCTTCAGGCCACTCAGTTGCAGCTAGATTGCCCAATGCCACACACGCAGACGAACCCTGTACACACTCAATGACCCGTGTGCGATCGTTGATTTCTGCTAGTACGTTTGCTAGTTCTACGTGCTTCCACGGATCGGGCGTGGGCACGCGCTTGTTTTAGAGGCGTTTTCGCGCAGCCTCTACCCTGCACGACCGCTCGTGGCCGCACTAGCTATATTTATCTTTATTTGTTTCACACACACACACACACACACACACACACACACACACACACACACACACACACACACACACACACACACACACACACACACACACACACACACACACACACACACACACACGCACATACAAACACACACAGGCCCTTGCGTGCAAACCCCGGTCAGGCCTGCAGTGTACACATCAGAGACATGATGTTCTTTCACAGAACTGAGGTTGTTCATTACTAAATGACTTTTACAGGAATATTGTTATTATACTATTCAACAGGTTGATCAGAATAATGTGTGTTAAACCCACAACCTAGCACTGAGGACAGAGGGACTTTATTTAAATTAGTACTTAATGGAAACGATACATAATGATACATAAGAGCCATGTCATACATTCAGCCTAGGAATAGTAGCATTGTGCACTATTAAAAATATACACATCAATTGCTCGAATCCCATTGTTGCAAAGTAAAACTCTAATAAAACTCTAGTCTGACATCAACAGAGAAGACTTAGTGTATGTACTACAAATACAGCATTAGGATTTCGTGTGGACCGGGCACCTTGTGAACCATCAGAGGCTTATGACGCAACATATCTTCCAGTTGCTATTAGACAAGTTATAATTCTCGACCATTTTTCGGTACTGGTTTCCTGGGTCCGTGAGTAAATGCCAAATGAGATGATAGTCCTTAAGTAAGTTCCTGGCGATCCCATGTCACGCTCTTGCCCATCAGCCGGTGAACACTGAGACGGAACTCGATGAGAGCGATGTATTTTTTAAGTGCTCCGAATGTACTTCTAACCAGCGTGCGATTCACTTCGTGAGTAAACCGCAGCTGCAGCTGATTCAAACAGTCGAGCCAACTTTCTACATCACAATATGCGTTTTGTAGTTAGTCGAGTTACCTTTTGTGTTGCGCATGCACGGGTCGTTAGCGTCCAGCTCCCAGCTTATAGAGTCCTGTATTGACACAGACGTCAATACATCTCGATGTCATGCAACACACAAAGTCTGTCACATACAGGTGGGTTAACACACTTGTACGATGTGTGCGATGGCGCGCCCATTTACAATGGGACACGACGATGATCATTGTTAACCAAACTCTTGTTTCTCACGACAGGTTGTCTCCTGCACCTGGTCTTCGTGCACAGAGGGTGCTGTAATGTGCTCGTCATAGTCACTATCGTTGTCACTCGAATCCGTTGTTCTCACGACAGGTGGTAGCGTTGTCTCCTGCAGGTTGTCTTCGCATGCGGCAAGCGTTGTGCTGTGCTCGTTATAATGGTTGTCTTCGTACAAAGGGGGTGTTGAATACTCCTTCGCGAGTAGTCTAGGAGATGGTGTGATGGGACGTATCTCAGAGGCGTTATGTGAACGTACCACCATGGCCTGAGCAACTGCGACTACTGAGAGTACACCCAGTACAGACAGCGAGATCATTTTTTTCTTGGGTGTTGTACGTGTGGGTACAGCCACTTTAATGGCAGTGAGAGCAAGTGGGCAAATGTATTTATAGGTCACTAGCAGAAACTAAGGCACGTGGTCATAGTGTAATCGTAACCACCTAAAGTAGCTCTTGTCATAATTTAATATCCATAGAAATCAGAAACGGGCATGTCAGGATAGACATCACGAGTGATAATGCGGCCAGTATCTGTGTGCGCTTGAGAGCACCTTGTTGTTCTACTGTGGTGCCCACGCCACCGGGTCTGCAAATGTCATCGACCTTCTTTATATACGCATACGCTAAAGACCGTATATTCTCTATGGATTTGAACACGTCCTTTGTTTCGCGTAACACTTGAGCTGTCTCGAGCGTGATGTTGTGAGCGTACGCCAGTGTTTCGCATGCACCGAGGTCCGAAAGGGCGTGCGCTACAACTATTAACCTTGGTTTGGGAGTGTGGCGAAATGCTCGCTCCGCTGTAATGGGCGGATGCAATGTTATCACCTGGTACGTTTCGTTAGTCAGGTCGTAACACACCGGTCCGTGACACGGACCGTCACATTGTATGGGGCACAGTAAGGACAACACGCCGCCGACCGTGACTTCGCACTCGACCGCGGTGGTGTTGTTGATTTGCAAAGGATCACATACGCCTCTCCAGTCGCAATGAGGCACATTGTAGTCGACGCGACCGTCGGTCACCATAGCTTTCGTCAACCAACACACTCGATTGCCCTTCGAAACATCGGCGATCAACGTGAGCGTAGAGGTCGCTGTCGCTTTACTGTACGCCAGGATATCCGTGTGTGAGTGCACGCTTGTCGTCGATTGACAACCGGTCATGTCAGACCTGATCAGACCTTCCGAACACATGACCATTAGTTGTTGTGCGGCCGAGAGTATCGCGATCATACCGTTGAGATGTGTAGAAAGCGCGTACACGCCAGCCTTCCACGTTTCCAAAGTTTCCAGCAGTCTAGAGGGACTTGTCTTAGCGCGCACGGCTGTGCTGAATTTGCGTTGGGTAGACAAAACGGCTTCGACCTCGCTTAGGA